GGGTTACAACACTGCATTTGTCACCATGGACAGATTGACAAAAAAACCCCTTTCGATTCCGTGCCATAAAACGATCACAGCTAAGGAAATGGCCGGGCTATTCCTTGTGCATTGGGCACGTCACTTCGGAATGCCCGACTTTATAGTCTCCGATTGTGGACCACAGTTTGTCTCAACTTTCTGGAAATAAAACTGCCGGATCTTAGGCACGAAAGTCAAACTCACTACGACCTATAACCCTAATTTTGACGGACAAACTGGGGTCATAAATCAGTACGTTAAGCAGAGACTACACCCTTTTTGCACGTACTATCAAAATAATTGGAGCTCCCTATTGCCACTTATGGATACAGCACAGCTCATCTTGCCCCACGAGTCGCTCGGCAATATCAGCCCATTCCGGGTGCTGAATGGGTACGAACCAAGAACCTCGTTCGACCTTCACAGCCCTGAACCTCCCAGATCAGCTACCGAACAGCTCAGTTGTCAGAACGCCTTGGATGTCGCAAGCCGCCAGGAGAAAGCAATAGCCTTCGCTCAGTCATCCTTATAGTTGTAACAAGATAAGATGAAGAGACTGGCTTTCATGGATAAACGTGGCGGAAACTAGGATGGTGTCTCATGGGGAGTTCCATTCTAAAACACAATTCGGGGTCAGATCAAGTATTCAAACAATTAGGATAGGCTCAGGAACATAGGGTCGTTTCATAGGGATTGCGAAGTAATACTGTTCGAGACAGAGCTTAGGGCTGTCCTATTATCTGATGTACATATATACCCAGCGTGGAGGAGTATTCTTCTTCACGCAACGTCTTCTGTTTATACTCATACCTATTGTTCACTTACTTATCTCTTCTCTAAAGAAGACCGCCGTTATTGTACCCTTCTCACCTACTACTTATTTTACCTTTACTTCTTACGTGAACCCTATACCTAACGCTGAATTTATACCTCCTACTGTTAGGAATCACCACCATACTCCACACCTGTAACCTAATTGTACCAAATTCGTAGCCTACGGAATACTAATAACACGGCTCCTTGAGACCTCTGCCTCTTCCCATTAAGCCATGTACAGATATATCTATAGACTATATTACACCGTTTCCCAATTGTGAGGTTATAAAACGCAGATTTAAACATATTGCTGTCATAGTTGACCGGTTGACTAAAATGCGACATTTTATCCCAACCGAAACTCTGGATAATGAAGAACTAGCAGAAGCTTTTGTTGAATAAGTTTGGTCTCTACATGGGTCACCAGAACAAATTGTGTCTGACCGAGGGACTCAATTTGTTTCGGCGTTCTGGAGAGCTTTATCACAAAGATTAGGAATCACACTTAAACCTTTTTCTGCATTTCATCCGGAGACGAATTGTCAAACCGAACGTATCAACGCCGAGGCATAACAATTTTTGAGACTTTATGTAAATTGGGCGCAAGACGACTGGGCTTTGTGGCTTCCACTTGCCGAACTTGCGGGCAATAATTCAGTTTCTTCTATCACGGGAATAAGCTCCTTCTTTGCTAATTACGGCTACAATCCAAGACTCGGCATTGAGCCTCAGACGCCCGCAGCACCCACACTATCATCTTTACAAAAACAAGAATACTTTAAAGCCCATGAGATAGCCAATCGTTTTAAAACTGTTCTTGACCATGTTAGAACTATGTCAAAAATTGCTCCAGATCGATATGAAAGTAATTCAAACTTTCGACATATGGATGGGACAAGATTTTTTGTGGGAGATGAGGTTATGATTTGCACGGAAAACTGGAATATGGGACCACCTGTTAATAAGCTAAATCCACGCTGGGAAAGCCCCTTTCGAGTGGTTAAAGTATCACCGCACGCTGTTACAGTTGACCTACCAAAAAATATCAAAATCTTCCCAACATTTCACATATCAAAAGTACAATTGCGCCCACACGAGCGAGCTCATGGGAAGCAGGACGAAGACATTAGGGCCAAAGATGGTAGGGTGGTTGTAAGAACGGACAATCAAGAGGACGTGGTGGAGAGGCGATTTGGTAAAGTTACAGGATATAACCAAATGGTAAGCAAAGGCTGGTACTATCAAGTACAATGGTCGGATGGTTCACCTTCATGGGAGCCAGCTTCCCATTTAAAAGGATGTGATGACGCACTCTGGGAATTTCATGATGCGAACCCACATTCAGGCCCACCAAGACCATGGCTATAACGCGGATAAACTAATTTTCTGTTACAAGATATAAGAGTGTTTCTCTTGTTTAGCGAGAGGGTAGTGTTGAGGTTATAAGTTCCTAGGATGATATGGTGGTAAAATTTGGATGTACGAAAATTGTAGGTCAACAATGTCTCTGGATTTCTTCTATATAGTGAAATCTTAAGACGGTGTATGAATGTCTTCTGAAATTATAGGATGTGTCTGGTATATACAGATTTTTAGCTTAGCGTGCATTATGCATAAAGACTGGGGTACCCGTGACAAATTATAATACAATGTTTATGAATAGGGATCCTCAGTGTCACGGGTACTAGCGTTGGCATGGTGATACCACTAGCATGGCAATTGGGTGAGCACTCTATTTTTCTTTGCATCAGATTTTAATTGCAAGTACCACTGCGAAGTTATGGTGGCTTTTTCTTCACCCCAAGTCAACCCTCATCCGTGAATACCCACCGAGGGGAACGTCTCAAAAACCCTGAGTTATCCAGACATGCTATCATCATCTTTCAACTTCTCTCCGCGCGATATGTGATCTGAGGTGTCTCTTTCCCAAGTGGAGTAGGTGCCCAGGCTACTCAAACCGTACCAGAGAACACCACCAGGAGGCGGACCACGTCACCTTCCATCGTTGTCTTGTTTTTATAGTGTCAGCTGCACTCTCGCAAGCGAAGTCTTGGCGCGCACAAAGCTCAATTCGTAAAACTGCTTGCCAAAATTCGGAATTTCACTCCCTTCGAGGCTAAATCCTTCCGTCGCATCATCTTGTAAACTTGTCCTCATCCCTCTCACGTCCATCCCAAAAAACTGTCTCCCAGATTTGTGCGCCACGCTTTGCTTCCTCCGTCGGGTATAAATATCGGCTTGAGCGTGTATTTAGTGGTCAACTGAGACCAGAGAAGGTCGAAGAGAGGTGTGGTCATTGGAATGAGGATGTACTATGTCGTACTTGTAGACTTGATGAGACTTAGGTTGGCGTCAAACTCGTTGGGAGCGGAAAAACGACGTGGTGGAGTAATGTTAAATTTTGCCTCGTAGGCCAACTTCTTTGATATTGCGAAATTTGACTGAACTTGGCTCTGGGAGAATATTTCACTCCCAGGTTCGTAGAGGACACCGCGTACAGGTGTTCAGTCTTTCCCTGATTGGGTGAGCACGCGTACATGTAGATTCCATAGACCGTTTAGTTTCTCCTTTATGCAACTACAAATATATTACCCTGAAGACTAAGTACTGCCCGTGATAGCTGAGAGAGTTCGCATCATAACATAGGATGGCTTCGGCCCAAGGATTACATGTCGGCCTTGGTGAAAAAGCGCTGACACGTCGAGTAAGTTACATATTGTTAGCTGGCAAACATAGACCTTGTAGTTGTGTTGTGATAAGCCACGACACTAAAAAAGTTTTAAATCAGACGTCGGTATCAGGAGAGCCCTGGACATATGGGGTTTTTTTTCAATTTTTCCCGGCTTCCATGTAAGTGCAGATGGCTTCCACTTCATGGTGTAGAGGGCGTAGACATTGAAAGACATTTAGTTACTATAGGTGCGTAATTGAACGACGATTCGTGATGAGCCATAGCATTAGAAGGAGGCATTTAAGAGGTCACAGGAGGAGAAATGGATCCAGAAGGATTCTTGTGATTGGATTGGTGGTCTAAAGACCTTGTGCGGCCTAGTTGGCCATGGTGTCATATGGTACAATAATTAACAAAAGAATCATCCCGGTAATTTAAGTGATTTGGCATCGTGAAGTAACACGCTTCGCCATAAACGTGTTTGCGACCGAATCACCTCAGTACAAACTCCAGTATGAAGGCAGGGGATAAAAAGATGACCACCGTTAACCTTGTTCAGTTTATGCCCAACCTGGAATAATATAAATTGTTTAGCTTTATCCTAGAGTATTCGAGTCTAGATTGCAACTTTGCCTCGTCCGAAATTCCCATTTGGACATCAACTGATTCTGAGTGGTTACAACTCTAAAGCTTTGTTTATTATATTTTGCGCTACTTTTTGAACCACCCAGACTTATTTGGCGATCCCTAACCCTCACGTATTAGTAGATTGATTTACTTTTATTATGCTGATCTGGCACGGCATGGGATTGTACAGATGCATGTGAACTTTAGTATATATATTGGAGAAAACCTGTCTATGCTAAGCCTCCAGTTCGGATGTTTAATGTCTCAAGTTTTCCCATTTATGCTCTGGGACGCGCAATCCACCATTTAACCACAGTGGGCACGTTTGAATCATCTCATTGGTATTCTGCAATTGGTAGCCGCATGGATAACTTAAGCTGCAGATTCCTGGTAATTTTCTGCCATATAATTACGATTTGACCCCTGTGTGGTCGCTTCCAATTTGGATTACTAGAGTGCCATGGGCCCTTGTCTAGTTTCAGTTAAGAGAAGAGAAGAGGTCACTTCCTCATGACTTCCTTTGTTTTGCCCAATTAATTATTTCTATGGAATTTGTCTGCTCTTGGAATTGTGGGATTAGCAGTATTGTCTTGTCGAAACTGTTGTACACGCCTCTGATTTGAGCAGGATTTCGCCCATTCTTGGTATGCTGTTACTCATTGTGGTAGATTATAAATGAGAAATAAAAATGCTTGACGTGGGGCAAAAATTAAAACTATCCAAGTGGAGCCATTATTCGCCGATTTTTTAACATCCATTTGCGAATTCCCATCTTATGTATCGTATGCAGTATGTGTTCTCAAATTAGTTTTCTTCATCAGAAAATAAATGCCTGATCCATGATCTGATCTAGTTGTAGGTGGCGATGGCCGTAAAAAGAGCGAGACAGCGGATCAGCTACGGTTATTTCTCAAATTATCACAAAGGAAACTACTGAGAAAGCTTAATAGTTCTGCCACTCACGGACTGTCACATAGGTCATCGCCTAGGTGTGAATGGCCTCGCCTTCGATAGCAACCAATCCATTCTGTAGGTTAATTTTTTGCTATCGAATCCTGCAATGATCTTAGTCTAAGAAGAATTGAGAACGTCATATCATACTTTGCTAACCATTCAACAGATATTCTGGGGGTAGAGATGGAGCAATTTGTGCCTGGAACTATAACAATAACTCGAATACGAACAAGGAGGCCAGCGTATCGACTAACTTTGGAGATGAATCGCACTGTTCTTCAGCTAGCTTAATTGTTCAAAGTGAAGCACATACACATTGGGTCAATGATATCGTACTTACTCAAAGTAACACAACACTTGTATCGGCGTCTTCCGACTTAACAGTAAAGGCATGGCGGCCTACCTCACACAGTGTAGAAGCACCTCAAACTATCGGACAGCACACGGATTATGTAAAATGTCTCGCCACACCTGGCTCGCAAGTAGACTGGGTAGCATCTGGGGGACTTGATCGTAAAGCCTGTCTATGGGATTTGAATGGTGGTGGAAAGATACTTGAAATTGAAGTAAGAGATGAAAAGTTCAAAAATGGCTCTATATATGCTCTGGCTTCAACACGCGGGGTGCTAGCAACTGGAGGACCTGAATCAATTTTACGACTATGGGATCCAAGGTCTGGCAAAAGGATTACAAAGTTTATTGGCCATACAGACAATATTAGAGACATACTCATTAATGAGTCGGGAGACACTGTCATTACAGCTAGCTCAGATCAAACTATCAAAGTTTGGAGTGTAACAACTTGCCGATTCATGCACACTCTTTCAATACACAGTGATAGTGTATGGTCGCTGTTTTCGGACGATCCAGATCTGAGAACATTTTACAGCAGCGACCGTTCCGGACTAGTGGTAAAAACAAATCTGCATAGAACACTGAAAAACTTCGAAGATAGAGTTTCAATAGCTTTAGCCCAAGAGAATGTGGGTGTGAATAAAGTAATAAAGTCTGGAGATTCTATCTGGACAGCCACGTCTAGCTCATCCATAAATCGCTGGGCTACTGTTGATAACACTTCAAGTACGCGACTCCCTGAAGACTACAAAATCCGGAATCCTTCAAATCATTTATTTCAACAAAATATAGATGGGTGTTTGCAACAAGAAATCTCACCGAATTCAGTTTTCCGAATACCAAACCCAAATCGATTCCCTCTTCCTGTCCATGATGCCCAAAGCTCGACTACGTTATTATCAGTGAATGATGCTCGGAAGGGCTCAATTATTGTTGACATAGGTAATGATCTTATTGAGCCTATTCATAGTTTACCCGAGGAGACAATTGAAGGACAGCACGGTTTGGTAAAACACAAAATGCTTAATGATCGGCGGAGAGTTTTGACACTAGACGCTGCCGGAGATGTCTTGATGTGGGATCTAGTTCAGGTGAGAATCTTTTATACGGCTCCTCTCTATTCTCTAATATTCATATAAGTGTGTTCCAATAAAATCCTTCGGGAAGAGATACTTAGAGGACGTGGAAGCAGAGGTCAATACACTGGAAGCTGTAGCCCCTTGGTGCTCTGTAGATACTCGTACAGGTCGGTTGGCTGTTTCCCTGGAAGAGTATAATTGCTTCGATGCTGAAGTATATGCCGATGAGCTAGATGCGATCGGGACTGTTGAGTTTCGGGAAGATCAACGAAGTAGGTAATGAATCTATGAAACTAAAATAGTGCTAATTCAGGCTCAGTTAACCTTGGAAAATGGGCTCTTCGATCCATATTCGTAAAGTTTGTTGATGAAATAATAAAAAAAGATGAAATAGATCGATACAACCTGGTCAGCTCCTTGGCTGGTGATGATGGCTGCCTGTCCGTAGTCGCTCAGCCATCATTCGTTCAAATTGTTGATCAAACAGAACCTGTAAATAGTATGGAAAGTTTTCTGTCAACAATACTTTTACTGATATGTATCGCAGATATTTCTACGATCATTCTCACTCCTATAAATAATAAACCAAAGACTTCATACGAGGCCTCTATTGATAAAGGAGCGTCAATTACAAGCAAAGATTCCACGGATGATCCGTCCTGCTCCCATAACCCAGTAGAGATAACCAAAAAAAATAAAATCAAGGTAGATCCTAGAGGCGCCGAAAAATCACAAGAAATTCCTACTGGAACCGAAAAGGATAACCCCAAAGAGAGTCATACCTTTTTCAAAAAAAAATTTAGGAAGGGTATAACATTCAGTTCCAAAAAAAATCGCTCCGTTTCTAGCGCAGAAACTTCTGTGTTTGCGGACGAAAAGACGGGAGATGAATCGGAGATAACGGAGGATGGGGACAAGGAAAAGGAAAAAGATGATACCTTTGAGGGAGTTCTACAGAGTATCACAGCGGAATACAGGAAAAGCCTACTTGAAAACTCAGGGGAGCCAGTCACTAGTTTAATCAAGCCTAGCCCCGAAACTGAAACACCGCTTTTAGAACTTCCGCCGATGACAACAGTCATAATTCAAGAAGAGACTTCTGGTGGAAGTGCGGATCTGTATAGAGGTACAGTATCAACGGTTGGTAATGACGTGTGTCTGATTAAAAAGTGTGCGCCGAGGTGGCTTGGGGATCTTCTGTTAAGAGTAAAGATAGTTGCCTCTCCACACTACTACATGACTAATATCAGAGCAGAATCGAATCATGGCCAAAGAGCCTGTAAAAGTGTCTTTTGTTTTACTACCTTGGAAGGATACTGCCCAGAATGTTGTGATTGATGGTACTTCTCGTTTAAACGCAAACAGAATGCTGCGTGTCAAAAAAATAATTTCCTACGTGGCAGAACGCATCGAAAGTCTCCCAGGAAATCTATCTCCCGAGAAAATGAAGCCCGAAGATTACCTTGAGCTTTATTGTTATGATAAGGTGAGTACTATCCAAGTTCATTTCTTTTGGTCTAATCATTGCAGAAATTACCGATGAACATGACATTGGCAACTCTTAGAGCTCACATTTGGAAAGGTGGGGCTGATCTTATTCTTACGTACAAGGTCAGCACAACCGAACGGAATGAATTGTCGGAGAAAGAGGCATCGTGATCTATGGCTAAATTATCTGAAATTTGAACGTGTTGGCAGTTTTATGGAAGTACTCTTAGTCTGAGTAGTCTTGAAACAGATTACAAACGTAGTATCTTTGCGGTTCACCATGTCACTGTGCTTTAGTTGATGACGCCCCTTCGATTCAGAAATTATTAGTGACTTCCTAAAATTGAATTGTATGCCCATTGGTAGGAGCCTAGAAAAATTGCGCCGCCAGCACTTATCCAGACTACTCTCGGAGTGATCCCCGAGAAAAACGCCATGGGCCCAGATTCGCTCCAGATCTGCTTTATTAGTGATATCAAGGCAACTTTCTGCTTGGCCAACATAATCCTCGTTTTCAGGACATCAAGTGGGGTAGTAATTCCTGCAGCCGTAGCACCAGAGATACTCCCAAAAATGGCACTTTCCGAGGCTGAGTTGGTAGGCTGGCCAGTACTTTTCCTCCTGCGTTCTTTCATATATTCCCAGAGAGGGAACTGAATGATGGTGAAGGGAACCTCCCTCATAATGGTTACTGACCAGCCCCGGTAAATTTGTAGACCTACTCCACGGAGGCCGATTTTTCGACGTTGACTCAAGATTGCGGCGAATGCCTGAAGCGAAGAGTGATGTTGACCGGCTTGCGCCCTCTGTTTAATGACTTCCATGGGCACTCGCACGCCACAGGCGGCAATTTCGCCCAAGCTCGCGGCAAGCATGTGGTGTAGAGAGCGTTGGCTGTGAGGGATGGCATGTTGAGTATCGGGGCCGGGAGAGAGTGGGAAGGCGAGGTGGCGCTTAGAGAATTCGTAGGTGCAGAAGAACAAGGCAGCGCTGGGAGCAGAACCTATAATGGCAGTGCCGACGCCACGATAGATACCGGCGAAGCCGCCAGATCCTCTAAAGCCTGCTGATGACTGGAGGCGCGTCTTGAGCGTGTCGAGTGGGAAGAGGGAGAGGTCGACGGTGGTCCCGGCGAGTGCACCAGCAAGCAGAGCAGTCGTATTAACGATCGGCTCAGTTTGGATGCTCATGGTGGATCTTGACCACGCGATCGCCTAGATGCGATGATTTCAAGGATGAGTCTGGTCCATTATTAAACCTTGAACGGTACAGAGAGGAAGGATTTGTTTACCAGTTCAGTGGTCCATCGATGGGTGGTAATGATAGAAAGCTGTGGTTGTCACGGCTCGTGATAGTATGGGATAAATGGGCTGTCGTGCCGATAATTATCCAGGTTATGTCATGGAGCTGGAATTCCTCTCTGCCCGTAGAGGCGGCCATCCTTCCACAACCAGCAGGCACTCTGACCGGCACAAACAACATCGCGGCAGCTTGTGACCTGCCAAGCTCCATTCTTCAGACGGCTGGCTTTTTGCTCGCATTTTGTCTGGATCTCTGCGTTGTGAGAATCCTGCTCATTATGGGATTTACAAGACCTGATGGCTCGCACACGCGCGCCATAGTCATTCGTTCCTATGGTAGAGGGCTGGGGTTCAAGGGGCCCACGCTCCTTCAAGGGTCTGGCAAAATAAGGATACATGTGGATGGGAGCTTTAAAGCTGATTGATTCCAATAGAAGTCTCTAATGGGGTTTGGACTATGAAAGACAGCTCTAGGGCCTAGCTAGTGAGTACCTAGATTCTCGTGTCCTTTTTTCCACTATTCATGTAACACTTATATGCTTGAGGACCAAGAAGGTCAAGACCTATGGTATGAGACGTGAGAAAGGTCAAGGTTCATAGAGAAATGGGCTAGGGAAGTATCGAGGCTCCAGTCCTCTACCAGCTTGAGTAAATTTGAAGACTAGATGGATCTTGGTTTTCTGCGGATACGTGTAGCGTCTCTTTAAATACAATATTGGTCGCGCCCGATCTGCAACATGGACATCATTACACCAACATGGCAATAACCAGGGCTGGAGCGGGAACTTGATAGGAAAATTCCAAGCGGAGCTGTAACGCAGGGACCAAAGGAAAGAAAACGAGGTCTCCAATGAAGAAAACGACGTATGGAAAATGTGAGGGGATACTGGGTCGAGACCAACCTGTCACCAAAAACAGCAAACAAATGGGGATATTTCAAGGGCTCCGACACTGACATCTGATCTGAACATGGTTCGCTTCGTGATACTGGTGATTGAGGTTGCGTTTATTGATGTAGATAATGTAGACGGCGGGGGCGATTCGGAATCCTCATCGAAGTGAGGACTATGTTACTTGATCTAGGCTCTGCAGACTCGACAGTGAGATCTAGAGACTTGTAAGGGACACCAGCGAGAGGTGTTGAGAATAGTCCGCCTTCGTTCGTGAATACCACTTTGCGGTAAGTTTGTTTACACAATCACTCGACCCATCTACGTGAGTAGCCTTCAAAGGCACATTTCGAAAGCCTCATTCACCCATCTACACCAGCGCCACGTCACGACCCTCTCTCGCGGTGATATCGTCTTTGTGGGATGATGAAAGCACACTCGCACAACCATAGATTTTCCACGCTTTTCCCTGTGGTGGATTTGTACGGAACAATAATGTTGCCGGCAAAGACGAACACTTCACCTTCCAGTGGTGCCGGTGTAATGGCTCAGTAGGCTTTGGCTATCTGGGATAGCCAAGAAGGATCGCATCCGCATCCGAATCGAAGTCGAAAGCAGCCTCAAACACATCTCCATTTGACGACTTCTCGACAATGCCTCCCATATCATTATCATCTGTGTCCTCAACCCATCTCTAACCACGCATCGTCTCGCCTCAACGACCAATAAAGAAGTTACTCCAATTGCATACATGTCGAATAACATAACATCTAAATAAAGAATCACCTTTATTAAAGATTGTTAATCTGTATGCAATTGAAATCCAAGATTAAAGCGTCACTGGCTATATTCGAGTCATGCATGTGTTATTAGATAGATTCCCACCTACCTATGCATAGTTCTGCTAGCATTTGTATTTTGTATTTTGTCATTACAATCGAGTCACTTAATCTCCTATTAAACAACATTAATTTTACCATGCCTGGTTATACATTCCACTTATAATTTGCCATCAAGGGAACAAACAGGACCAATTTTAGAACCATGTAAAGAAGGGAAATACGAGCTGTTTGCACAAATAATTGTAATTATTGGGCTATATCTGAAGATTGGGAGGAAATTATGAGAATAATCTAAAAGATATATTTAAGAACTAAGATAGCATCCTCAGAAAGGACAATGAATTCAATAAACTCTGAGAGATTCATATTAGGATAACTTTGCTCAACAAAACAGGAGCTTGCCCCATTAATCTCCAGCCATCTCTCACTACATATTTACGACGCTATTTGTACCCGCAAGGAGGAAATCAAGTCGAAAAATACAAAGCCTGGGTCTTGGCTTATGGGGAACTGTTGCTCTAATAGGACAAACAACTCGATGGAGAACAGGGGGCTGAGATGTGGAACGGGTCCCTGAAGACAATGCAAGGGCCGATATTTTCAAAGTATTTTCAATTTTGGAATGTTTTTGGGCACCGAAACCGAGATTCCGGCTGATTAGCCAGGAGGGCTTCTATTGTCGATGAGTCAACGGCACTCCCCAGCGCCCTGGACGGCACAAAAGGAGTTAGGCCACGCTACCATACAGCAATCACTCTCTGTCAAGACTTTTCTGGCATTTCAGCCCAACCTTTGGGAAGGAGGCTAGAAAGGCAGAGTGTGAGTTCTCCAGGGCACCAAGTCAGGAAGATTGAATAGTCTATTAATTTATACCCCTTAACGTCTAACTATAATAGCATGACATGAATCGTAATGCCGAGTCGACCCTCCTCCGCAAGTACCCACAAAAGGGAAATTCCAGACCTTTGAGTACCCAAGCAAGCCTTAGCCATTCGTGTTTAGCAGTGGCGCGAGAGATGTGCGGTTGCGTGCTGCCGGATTTGAACCAGTGGTCTCCTATCACGACGGTGATGTGTGTCCATGCTTACTGGGTTTTCCTTGAGAGACCGGTCTTGATGATGTACCATTGCACCACCTGACCAAAACAGTCTATTCCGCCTCATAAACACTCCCAAATTCGATCATCTACATGACTATCGATGCTGCAAAAACAGAAAATCTAGTTGTCCAACCAAATTTAGGTGACTCACATGAAATGATGTCATGATCGGGGAAGTGTATTGTGGTTACTAGTAAGTTATATGAGACCATTATCGCTCGCTGCTCACCATGTGTCGAATGCACAGGAGGATCAGTATCGATGGCCAAGTGAGCGGAAGATTTTCTATGCTCTCATCTATGAGCTGCTGCGCTTCATATATTCCTATTCTATTGCACCTCAGTGGCGAACATGTGTTTGTCCACTGGCAGACAGCGATCGTCTATGCCTAATCCCTAGCTCCTGATGGCCTGAGCTTTGGCATGCTAAGCACCCTGCCCAAAATTAGCCTCTGTGCGCCTTGACAAAAATAGCTGGGCTATAATTAGAGTCTTTCTTAATAGATTTGCGGTCGGAAAATAGTCCTATTTGCAATGCATCTCTCTGTTGCCGGGTCACTGTCTTGATGACTCAACCAACACTAGAGACAATACCTTTGCAGTGTAATGTTGTTCCATTACGTATGCTTAGGGTGATTGTTATGAGCTCAAGTGAGTATGACTATGCATGCTGACCTTGTGCGAGTATGTAGGTGGATGAGACTAGATTGTGGTTCAAGGCAGATTAGAGAATAATTGTACTTTATTATCGTAGTTATGTGCCGAACACGTGCTACTTAGACTCGTCTGCGGCTGCTAGTCAGCTTTTGCACACACAAACTTCCTTCTACAGATATAGAAAATAATACACGGACTGCTCGAACAGCCTAGATATCTTATCCCCCTAGATACATGCCAGTATCCTTGCGAAATAACATGCCCATCACAACACTGAGCCTCTTCAGAAGCATTGTACGAGTAGGGCCAGGCTGGGTCGGGTCAAACTGCCGGAACCCGTCCTACTCTAAAGACCGAAGCCGTGCCAGATGACATTCATGAGTTGGGCAAGGTGTGTCTAGTTGTCCAGGGAAACAGTGAAAAACAAAAGGAAAGCACTCACGCGCCACAAATAACGAAACTTTGAACAAACATGGTCACCACGAACCCAAGCCTCGGAATCTTTCTCGTTATCTAGGACCTTGGCAATGTTTGTTTGTGAGTTTATTGTGTTACTTGAGTCATAGATTATCTAACACATCGGGACCTTTGCAATGTTCTTTAGTGGAGAAAATAGACACAATACATTTTCCACTTTTGTACCTTTCGTTTTGCATTGAATTAACCCTAGGAGTATGGATATTAAGACCAATCCAAATTTCCAACCATGTGTATTTTCTTGCATCAGGTTTTAGTTGCGTAATCAGCTATCTAGTTGTGGTACAGTATCATAGAAAAAGTGCATAATAGGTGATTCAATTTAAAATAACCTCATGACTCAGATTTCATTTGCAAGTACCACTACGACGTTATGGCGGCTTCTTGCCCCATGTCAGTCAAAATACATGAATTCTCAGCCAGAAAAAATTCTCAGAAGCCTCGAGTTATCCAGACATGCCTCCATCATCCCTTGACTTGTCTCAGCACAATTGTGGTCTAAGCTCTCTCCTCCCCAAGTGGAGTAGGTTCCCAGGCTACTTCAACTATAACAGAGAATATCGAGCAGGGTGGTTCGTAGAAGCTTGTGGCTACTAGGCACAGATTATATCACCTGGTGAAGCGAGTGGTAAAATAGGAGAGTCTGTAAATCTGTTATGGAGGGCTGTCAATTACTTTCACTCGCACGCTAAGCGCTATATAAACTATCTTCTTTATTAATAAAGTCTTGTTGTTGGTATTTACGTCAAAGCGCATTGATACTAATCTCAAAATTATTAGGAGATTAGCTATGTGTATTCTTCATATCCTGGTCTTTACCATAATTTGAAGCATAATTTTCAATACGAGGACGAGGAATCACAAACTTGAACTCTTGAAGGAGTAGTAGCATCTTCCCATACCTTTCCGAGAACAGTATGTCATTTGAGTTCAGCATAGGCTTTCGATAGGTTATCTATTCTGTCCTTGGCAATTTCCTGGAGATTGAGTGAGTGGTGTCCAAGGCCAAGGTGTAGACTCATTAAAGGCCAAAGTTTCAATATTACCTCCACATCGTGCGAAGTTGCTTCTGTTTGGGTTACTCCTTGTATCTTTTATTGAAACTGTGATTTTGCGTTCCTTTGGGAGCCTTGGCAGGTTTCGAGAGGAACCTGAAAGAGGAAGATCGTCAGGGAAAAAATGAGATAGTGGAAGACATTAGTTTTTACAAAAAACTTCAGATAGATCTGTGACTATGTGTGGTTAGTATTTGAGTTGTAGATTATAAGACGGCCTGTGAGGTTCCAAAATTCCTGTAGGTCGAAGTTGAGACTGGATCAAGCCAATGCCGCTTCGCCCGACCATAATCTGCATGAGGACTCTCAAATATACCCCTAATTATGCCTGAATCTCAGCTCCGAGGGAACATGTCGCCCCGAGGTCTGCAGAGTGCGATACTCACAGGTGTTCAGCCTTCGTCCTCCGATTTTCTGGCTCTCTTTAACAAGTGCTAAAAGACAACACTTAGCTGTGTATATGCCAAGTAAACGAGCCTTGGCTTAATTATATACCCTACTTAATATACTTCCCTTCCTCTGGCATGATTCGCTTAGTGTTGCATGATAGCTCGACGTGAAATTCATAGAACGAGCAGCGCTCGACAATAGTCAGAAGAGCAATTATCTTTCCTGTATTTATTCTTATGTTGAAAAGAAAAGTCGGGCAGATCGGGTTTCAACTATGAAGTTTGGGCGTACAAACATATGAATTCAAGGTTTTGATATGTGGAATTCGAGGTTAGTTTAGGAATGTGGAGCTAAAGATTCATGTAGATTTTTATTCGGATTCATGGCTGTCCTTGATAATTGAATGATTTATCAATTCGCATATCTTTATGTCCTTGCGATTGATAACGACCGGATATTGACAGGGCCTAGGCTCGTGTATATTGTTTCCCATTATTCTGGATTTTGGATGGCACCTTCTACAAAGCTTTACTTGCACCGTCTGGTACAACTTAGTGGTTTTTATCTGAATCCAGAGCCATCCTCGAAACAAGAAAGACGTCGCCTACATAGTCTTTTCTATCGCTGTAACACTTCGAATATTTCACAGCAACGGAAATTTCATACCAGACTAACTGGAAAACTACCATTTCGTCGAGTAGCATCAGATCTGCGTCTTACCAAATGAAGACCCAAAGCGTTAAGTGGCTCGGGGCACTGTTCTGTTTATCAAGGTTGGCATGTGCCGATACTATTTTTCTTTGTGGCCGTATTGGAATAACAGAAGAACACATAAAGACAGCCTATATAAACTCTGCGATATCACCCATAGATGGATTTCCAACGGTCATGAAACTTCCATATATAGCCGACAACTCTGACTTTACTGCCTATCCAATTTTCCTTCATGGTGAAAACAGGATAACGAGTAACATGGTCTCACTTCCTTAACTAGAAAAAAAGGCTAACTCTTCAAGGTCCATTTGGTCATTGCTTCTTAGTCTGGTCCGTAAATGGTATTAATTGGGGTGTAGTATTGTATCATGTTATGGGCACTCAGTCATGTAGAATGAATCCTAATTATCTGGGAAGAACTTTGATATCTATAGTTATTAAGTCATAATGTTGTAAATTAAAGGTCATAAACTGTGGAATAGCTACTGGTAATTACCTTGCCTTTGTCGGAAACATTTGAGGATATAGGTTAGATTTCCATTATAGGCCGAGCCGAGTCTTTGGTCATAGAAAAGATCATGAATCAGGGGAAGTCTGTTAAGGAGCCCTATGGGAAGAATGTTGAAATTGGCGCTACTTGGCAATGAAGATTAGCATTAACATGGAACGTAATAAGGTTCGATTATAACTAGCCATATTCATGACGACTCATACATTGACCAGCCTCCCAATTATTTAGCATAAAATGGTGAATCATGTCCTTCACCTGGATGTAAAAATTAGTTTAAATAGCGCTCTGATACAAAGTTGGTTTAATCAACAACTCTCCACTACAGTTTTCAGACTCTTCAATCTCCCAACTCGCTTCACTAGGTGATATTAAATACAAGTCTAACAGCTTAAGCTTCTCAATACAGCCTCCAATGAAGCTAAGAATATAGTACTTTGAGCACAATTGTGATTTTAGTTGATTCGCAGGTTTCACTGACTCCTATTGTGGTCTTGAGTGGTGTGAGGGTCGTTTACTGTGCTTCTTGAGTCTATCTATTTTTTATTCATAGTGTATTCAGCTATCTAGCTATGAAACTTTATTTACACAAGTTAAATCTCCCAAACTCCTTCCTTACATATAATTTACTCAACCGCTTGTAAATTTCCAATTACTGACTCCCATGTTAATATCCTTTGTGTGCCACCATGGACTTGGATGTAGTTTGACTATATGGCGCACAAGGCTTCTCTTCTCTTTTTTTATTTGAATGCTCAATGATCTATTTCCCGGAGGACAAGACTGAACACCTGTACGCGGTGTCCTCTACAAAGCTGGGAGTGAAATATTCTCCCAGAGCCAAGATCAGATAAATTTCGCAATACCAAACAAGTTGGCCCACGAGGCAAAAATTCAAATTACTCCACCATATCAATCTTTCACTCCTAACGAGTTCGAATCCTAACTAAGCTTCATCAAGTCAACAAGTACGACCTAGTACAACCTCATTCTAATGATCATACCTCTCGTCGACTTTCTCTGGCCTCAGTCGGTCACCAAATACACGCCCACGCCGATATTTATACCCGAAGGAGGAAGCAAAGTGTGGAGCACAAATCTGGGAGATAGCTCTTTGGGATGGACGTGAGAGGATCAGGACAAGTTTGCAAGATGATGCAGAAGAGGGATACATTCTCGACGGGCGTGGAATTTTGAAATTTGGAAAGGAGTTTTTACAAATTGAGCTTTGTGCGTGCCAAGGCTTCAGTTGCAAGAGTGCAGGCGACAATATAAACATCATCATGGTTGGATGGTGCGGTGGTACATCGTCTTGGACGGTCTGCCAAGTAGAGTCTGGATAGCTTGGACACATATCCCACTTGAGACAGTAGATCCCTGGTTCAAATTCAGCAAAACACAACTACTTTTCTCGCAGTGCTGGTATGCATGGACGACGAAGGTACGCTTGGATAATCAAAGGATTCGAATCTCCCTTTGATGGGTACTTACGAAGGAGGGTCGACTGTTTGTGTAAGCGAACATACCTCATAGTGGTATTTGCAAATGAAATCCAAAGTATGAGTGTCTCTTAGGTGAAAAGAGTCATCCTACATGTATAAACAGCACTGATCATGTGTCATAGCTAGATAGCTGCATACACATTAAATGATTTAAACAAAACATCTATTACCCGTGATAGATAGCCATTTAGCTTAACATTCAGCTGTGGAATTCAGTTAATTTTTCCACGGAAACTTCTATCTAAAAACATACAAATGGCTGCAATAGAAACTATATAAGAGAACATCATTTTTGCCAGAAAGCTTCGCAGCTCTCCACGCCGCCTATATTGTCAATCTCATATGCATATCTACTTAATTCTCCGCTAGTTACCTCGTTTTCCGTACTAAAACATGGCGGGTATGGGTAATTCCAGCATTTTCAATGCGTTGCAAAAAGCAACAATGGGCAACACAAATAACGGCAGCGGAGCGCCAAAATTTCTGAAAGATAAAATTTTCGAAATTCCAGGGAGCCTTAGATAAAAGTTTAGGTTACTGGTGATACATAAGATGGATGAGAAGGACTTACCCACGATGGAGGACGTCAATTAAGCCGTCAAGGCGTTCAATTTTCACAAGAAGACTTGAAAAACGGTGTTCTAGATCCCGTCTCTGATTGAGGAAAGAATAGAATAGAATGGAATTTTATTTAGGTCCCTACTGAGTCTATGATTATGAAGGACAGCTAAAACTATCTAAATAGCTTTAAAATTAATAGTAAATTTGTATATTGTTGTACTCAATTTTTGCCAATAGATGATAAGGGTCATGCCCTATTTTGAGGATAGAATGATAGCGCTCGAGGAGGTTTTAGAGAAGAGCCTTGCGGATCCCGCACGAAGAGCTGTCCCAGGAGCAGTTTCAGGGATGTCGACACCAGGGACTTATGTGTCGGTTGTAGCTCCGCAAATGATGAAGACGGTGGTTAGAATTAGAAATGATAGAGGCAGAAATGTGAAGTAGGAGGAGCTGATTTCAAAGACGAAACAACATATCCAAGGATGTTATGATCCATGAACATGCATTTGCTCTGCACATTCATGCATGTGCTATTCTACCAATCAACGATGTCGCTATGCTTGTGCAATGGTTAGACATTGGTGGGTGGTCATGGGATTGTATCGAGCCAATGAGGAAGGCTGATCTCTGGGAGTTTTGATCAGGCACAGGATTGATTGTGCACGGATAATGGCGGTCCTCGGTAAAGTCTAACATGCATATAGATAAGTGGTCAAGTACCGCCCATAGTGACACACATACATCTCACTTCTCTTCATATTCACACTCCAGAACATATAATCCATTCCTGAGTCATCTCACATAGATTACCTATGACATCAACTATTGTACTGTCTCTGAGTCCACTCCCAACCACTGTCTAGTGCTCATACATCATAACAAAGGAGCATATGTGTTACGGTTTACCCGTTGTTTAAGCTTAGGTGAATGTCACAATCCGTGAGAGCCGTATTGCGTGCGTGTGGGGATACGGGTTAGCGCGCCTTGGCATCACGTTGGATGACTGAGCACAGCCGAGGGAGATATCTTAGAGAGGGTCGAGAGTAGCTACCTCCTCTTTTTGTCTTTTATTGCCTTTACAAGCGTACCTCTTGATAGCAATATAATAACTTATACAACCTCCTTGTCGTGCCGTAACATAATAAAAGACCATCACCTCGCTGGAAAGCAGTAATATCCACTCGGAACAAATTCGACGTCGGCACCACCTTTTTGGTACGACTCCTACGACTCCCGCCTTACCTGTATAATTACAGGTGCCTTCTGCCTCATATCTCGATTGCAGACAGTCTCAGAGCAAGCTGAACACCCTCTCTCTATCGGCATCACCTTTTTGATACGATACCTCAAACTTTGCGACTTCGCGACACGGATTCGCGCTTCAGCCTCGCCCTCAGCCTCGTGCGCGCATCCTCAACTACCAATCTCGACCTCTGCAAACCCCTCCCTACCTACGCGCGTTCGTCTCAATACTACACACACGAAGAGCGGTCCCTCCCATATGTAATCGCGCCGAAGCAATTGAGAGCTCTCTGCACCAGCCCGATTTGGATACCCCGCAGAGGAAAAGAAGAAGAAAGGCGATACCGCGCCAGTGGAGGAGAACATATTGAGCACTATTGAGAGTGATGCAATCAACGAGGAAGACGAACACACAATGGTGGACCCAGCATTCTCTACCAGCCAGTTGGCGGCAATCAACGAGATGCTCAAGACTGCAGTTGTTTCTGCTCTCGCTGTCGAAGCTACCGAAGATGCTGCTAGAAAGTCTCGCGCACTTACTGCAGACCTACAACTGGCTATTGATCACTACCTCCCAAAGATTGACAATTCTGTCAAGCCTGTCGATTCTCACAAGATTCGCTATCCCCGCCTCCTCTTTACCGACCACGATGGAGAGATTGAGTACGATGCTTGGAAGATGGACATGAAGCTCTTTATTGAGGAGTTCTCTGGTAACTTCTGTGCTGGAGACTCCCAGGTAAAGGCGTACTTCAAGTGTACTGGAGGAGAGGCCAAGACTATTATCCTTCAGCATATGGATACAGATGTTACCACCGAATTCAAGGGTGCTGCCGACGTCCTCGCTGCCCTAGATCAACGTTTCTTCGACCACAACTGTGTCCAAAAAGCCAAAGCTGCCTACAGCAACTTGAAGATGACTAGTAATATGACATACAATCAATTCCGCATCAAGTTCACCAACCTAGCCATCACTGGTAAAATCGCCAGGGCTCGTTGGTTTGATGACGTTTGTGAGAAAATCTCTCCTGCCTTAAAGCTCCAAATTATGACCGAGAAGTACAAGATGAGCAACAACTACACTACTCTCGACGAGTGCTTAGCTGTCACCGACCGAGAATCTCGCAGCATCCTCTCCGAGGATGCTCTCCATAAGAAGGTAGTCGCTGTCGCCGTCGGAAACAACGCTAGCAGAAACCCGGGTATTTTGAAAAAATCGGGATGGACTGCTGAACGCCTGACGGCTGACGCTGCTCGCAACCATCCCGCTGTACGCTTCCCCACCACTCCTGAGACCGTACCACAAGTCATACGCCGTACTCTCAGCGCTACCAATACCTGTCGTCTCTGCCGAAAGGAAGGCCATTGGGCTAGGGATTGCCCCAACGCCGTAAAGATCGCAGAACTGACTGGTAGATCGGTGGAGGAATTAATGTTAAAGCACGATGACGGCGACGAGGACGGCCTACAACCTGTTGAGGTTGACGAGCTGTCGGGAAACTCTTAAGCCGTGGAACAGTCTCCTCTCATGGCAAATGCCTCGATTTGTGGAAAGTCTTGAATGCTGATTTCCGTTCTCTTACTGGAGGAAAACAATTCCTAGTTAGTATTGAATTAGGTAGAAATGGATCATTC